GATTTGGGAAGGAGATCCGGGCTCCAAGAGAAATTTGCCTCCCTGCAGAATTTCTGGCGCTATTGGGTCATTGGAAAAGGCTTAACATATTTTCTATGCAAAAATGCGTCATTACTTTTCTAATGATCCACTAAAAAGTCAATATTATGTTTAGAGATGACTTATTTCTTGGCAGTGTAGAGCCAGGTAAGCTAAATTTTCACCTCTGGAATCTGATTGCCAAAAACACAGGTTAGAACTTCAAGTAAACAGTATTATTTCTGGGATTTAAAAGAATATCCTTTTAAGTCATTTCTGGCATGTCATAGAGAACCATGAGAGCAATAGCTTCGTAGCTTAAAAGAAAAAGACTTTAGATCAAGGCTAGTACCTTGGGGGACAAAGTAAATGCATGTCAAAGATAAAGCGTTCTTGAAATATCCGGGAGGACCAGATGCAGCAATGGGAAGCTTCCGTAGATAGTTCCTGGTGCCACTCCTTATACACAGATGGAGGACAGCAGTGGCTGGTGGTGTTTTTATCCTAAGAAATAAATTTTGTTACCAAAAAAAATACATTTTGTTTCATAAACTATAATATTTTTATATTAGGTTGTCGGGAAAGTCATGGCATATTTTTCAATGTTTTTTTCTATACAAAAATGTGTCACGACTTTCCCGACAACCTAATAGTTTGGCGGCAGGGCCTTTGGCCTCACAGCTGTGAGTTCCAATGCCGACTCTGCCAGTTTTTAACTGTGGAGACCTGGGTCACGTGGTTCATTTTTGACCTTTACTCACTCCTAAGATGTGGAGAATGAAGCTTACCTCAAAAGCAGGCCTACTAAAATGCTCCCGAGAAAGCTCCACTGCCAAGTGGGTTGTTGATGAAATCAAAGGGAAATCATTTAAATCTGAAATTTCAGTGCTGAAGCATAGAAACAAATACACAAAACAAATGTTGGTTCTGGATTACTTGGCTCCGTTCATGGCTTTCCTTTACCCTACTGTTTAATGTCCTTTCCCAAACACTTTGGAATAACTTGACTCGGGGCACTGAACTTAGGGAATATTTAAGACCACAAGAAGTTAGTGCTCACTCAGAAACATGGTTGAGAAGAGTACAGTAATGAGAGTCTGAATGCATTTTTTTTTAAAGAGAGATTTTTGCTATAGGGCGCATGGGCTTGCTGGAGACACAGAGAGACAGAAAGCGAGAAATCACCCCCTGGAGGGATGGCCACACCGCAATCCCTTCTCCATTCTCCTCTCGGGCTTTTGGGAACGCATGTACACATGCCCGGAGTGAGTTCCAACCCGCCAGATCTGGAACTCCAACCTCAGTCGACCACATGGGAGTCCAGTGACACAAACATTGTGCTATCTGCTGGTCCCCTGAATGCATTCTTAATCATTGTTTCCTGTATGTGATCATATTACAAGTACAAGAATCTGCCATTTATTGCAGCGTATTCTGCCAAGTCCTAAACTAGACATTATCTCATTTAACCCTGGTTGTTATTTGAGATATAAGTGGTACGGTCCTCATGCAGATGAGAAAAGGAGGTATATTATCCTAAGAAATATGTCAAAGCTGGGCCAGCAGATGGTTCGGAGGTTAAGGTGGCTGGATCCCACATGGCCAGCTTTGTGATTTGATTTCCAGACCTGGCAGCCTGAAGAAACACACTTGTGTGTGTGCCCAAGATCCTGAGAGGAGAATGGAAGAGAAGAGATTGGGACATTAACTAATTAATCGATCAATCCCCCTAGGGGTTAATTTCTCAGTTTTCCTCTCTCTTTGTCACTCTCTGTCTCTCTCCAGTGAGTGCATGCACCCTATAGCAAACACCTAAAGAGAAGAAGAAATATGTCAAAGCTTTCATGGCTGGTAAGATTTAAAAGCTAGAATAGTGCTATCTCAAATTAGTGTCTGATCTGGTACCTGTGCTTATCTGGAGGGTACTTGCGCTCTTTGAAATGCCAGTACAAATTAGAGCTTATTGAAGGAGTGGTTGGTATTTAGAATCTTTGAAACTGTTTATGCCTAATTAGGACTTGGGAAAATCTAAGGAATTGATGGTGTATGTCCAGTGCCAATTTTTCTGAAATACATTTTCTAGTGTTTTCATTTTGACATTTTTTTATCCAAGAGGAATGTAAAATACTGTGGAGTGATTATCTAAATCAGTTTCTTAGCCTTAGTTTAAAGTGTAAACCAAAGAAAACAAAACAAAACAAAAAAATGAAACCTAGCTTCTTCTCCCAAGTTTTTTCTTTTCTTTTTTCTTTTTTTTTTTTTTTAAGAGAGACTTTTGCTATAGGGCACATGTGCTTGCTAGTGAGGCAGAAACAGAAAGTGAGAAATCACCCCCCACCCTCCCCAGGGGGATGGCTACGCTGCAAAAATCATTCCCTTCCATTCTCCTCTTAGGACTATGGGCATGCATGCAATGCACCTGGCATGAGTTTTAAGCCACTTGGTCTGGCACTCAAACTGTGGTCGACTATGTGGGAGTCCAGTGATGTAACTGTTACTCCGTCTGCTGGTCCGCAGATATTCTTAAAAAATTTTCTTTTTTTTTTTCTTTCTTGAAAGAGCTAGAGACAGTTACCCCCAGTAGAGTCTTCATGCTATAATACACTCTTGACCTCAGCTAGTCAGGATCATGGGCATGTGCTTGCCCGTTATGTCTGGAGATACCTCAGGATAAGAGCCCAGGACCTTCCCACATGGATCTAGCATAGCCAAGCATTGTGTTACCTCTGTGCCCTGCAGCTCAGTTATTCTGATGTAAACCCATATCTTAAGTCTTCTGGAGACTGGCTAAGTTCAGATCCATCCCTGGGATCTGGACTAAGATGATGGAAAGATTCAGGTCATTACCTTGGGAGCTTTAAGGGCCTACTCCCTGGTCTTGTTTTGCTTGGCAGTCTAGTTCTGCAGACTGGGGCTCCTTTCATATCTTACTCCCCACACTTCCCTTGATACCTCGACTCCATATCCCTTCTTCCTTTCTCCAGCACCTATACTCCAGAATGGAAGAAGAGGAAGAGGAATTTTTTGCATTTGTACCATTGTAGTCAGTGTGATCTTCCACAACATCTGCTTGGGATGTGTCATCTGTCCAGTGATGGTAATTGGAATGTAACGTTAACACTGTTTCTTTATGCTTTGGCTCTACTGCTTGCTTTCCTATTCTGGTAACACCCCAGAGGCAGCTGACATACTTATAAAAATCCAACTGAGGTGAGTCAAAGAGCTATTCCAAATGTGAGTCCCAGGTGCCATTTTCTTTCAATGGCATTGCATTGCCTGTCTTTTCTTCTTACCTTCGCTGTTATTGTACTCTTCTCAAACTAACTGCTCTTCTGTTCCCACCACTCCAGAACCTTCTTTAATTTGAAAAGTGACAGACAGCAGTAAATGCAGCTGTGGACAGTAGTGCAGGCAGCAGAGAATTTTCAAGGCAGATAAGTAGCTTGCTATTTTCCAGTGTGCGCTATCAGAACATAGATCTTGTGGAAATATGGTGTGAGCAGGTTACCAGTTGGAGCAATAAATTAAATTTTTACTAGCAAATATTTGTGCATGGTAATTTAAATCATCTTTATCCCATTTACACATGAGGGGGCAGTATGGTACTGTCAAGCAAATGTTGTGTTGAAATTGCTTCTTTTTATTGCTATATAATGCTTTGTTTTTTGGTGAGAGCGTTCAGGATGTACAGTAGTAAACTCCAGTAGTATTGTTAATGACTTTATATATATATAAATATAAATATAGGTAAGTGACGCCTTTACTTTTGCCACACGTCATCTGCTTTTTTTAATTTAAATGTATAAATAATTCCCTTACAACATGCCTTTTATGGTGAGTTTTACATTTGTGTTTGGTGTAAAGCTAGCTGGCTTTCTTCCTTTCGCGGTTTCACCTGAGGAACGTCAGTCCTTTGGAGGCGCGGTGTCTGTTAGGTTGATGTCTCTAACATGTTTTATTTTTATGACGTTATAGAGGGCTGAAGGGTCTCCAGCCTTGTTGAAGGAAGTCTTTGAACTCAGGTCTTGGCAACTATGGGAGACCTCCTTAAATCACTTCTGTACGCTGTGCTTGTCTTTATGCGTAGATTGCTTTTCTCAAAAGATAAAACGCGTGAAGCAAAGAGGCAGCACGTTTTCATGAATGTTGTTATTGCTCATGTATGAATGACCTTATAGATCAATCAAGGTCCCAACAGTCTCGGTTTCATAAATGCAAGTGGAAATTACTAAGAGAAGTTGGAGGGTACTATATAAATTGACAAAACCTAGAGAATATGATATAAAAATGGAAATGTGAATCTAGAAAGTTAATTTCATAAGCACAGCTAAGCGAGAAATCACCCCCCAGGGGATGGTCACGCCGCAATCCCTTCTCCTCCATTCTCCTCTTGGGATTTTGGGCACGCACGCACATGCGCCCGGCGTGAGGTTTAAGCCACCGGGTCCGGGACGCGAACCGCGGTCGACTACGTGGGAGTCCAGCGACATAGCCATTACGCTCACTGCTGGTTCCCATAAGCACAGCTCTTTTGACATGTGTAAAAATTATTTGCAGTCATATGTTTCTGTTTATGTAGTAAGAAAAAAAAATCAAGACCAACATTTAGGCATAAATATAACCCTTGGTGAAATTTAATGAGATACTTGTTTTTAGTGTTTTATGCTGGCTACTTCCTTTGGGGATGAATAGCTATTGTAGTTTGTACACCTGGTAAAGATAATTATGCTCATTTAGTTTTGGAATGAGTTATTAGAAACATAATGAATTGATGTTGCTTTTAATTAATTTTGTTTAGAAATTTTATTTTTGAAATCTTCTAAATAAATGGCTTATGACCTATTCCCTAAATTTGAAGGAATGGATTTTTGGCTCTGGACTCTCTTGAACGCACTCCAAATCAAACCTTTGGTGGTTTACTGTAGACACACACAGGTTCTGTTCATGGTAAACAGTGAATGTCTTTTATGTTTTGGTGACAGATTTTTCGGACCCTGCCTGATGCCACATTCCCAGAACCCACGTCGCTGTCAGCCTCACCCCCAAATGCTCCCCCAAGGCAATCGAAGAGACAAGGCCAGAGGACGAAGAGACCTGTGGCTGTGTATAATCTCTGTCTGGAGCTGGAAGATGGTGAGATGTTAATGATACTTTTCTGCTGGACAGCATGTTGAGAGTATTGGCCTATCCGATGTCCTCAGTGCAGGCCACTGTCTTCTACCCTCTGCTTTTAAATTTCTTTTTTGCTTAAGATGATCATTTTTGAGATTAATAGGAAGGATTAAGCTTTTTCGTCAGGGAGAAAATGCCAAGTTTCAGTTTTGTGTTTGTCTTTGTTATGCATGGTTCTTTTTTTATTTTTAAAAGACAGCTTAAATTTCTTTTTTGGGAGACTTGTGTGACCTCCTGTGAGGTTACATAACCCTGAGACAAATGGAAGGAGAACTAAAATTAAAGCAGATCTTTTATGAGAAGAGCTGATAGAGCCTACTGTTAAATGCGTCTAGATTAAAGGCACAGTTCACCATTGCACTAGGGTTTATGGCTTTTGCACTTCACTTGCCCCGCTTTTCTGACTTTCTGTAAGGTGGGACATTTTACCACGTGGCAGGAGTAGTAGATTGACCTCCCCACCGGAGCCAGGATGAGTGAACTGGGCTCCAGGGGAATCCTGGTAAATGCAGTTTCTCACGTCACATCTAAGCCGCCATGTTTTAGCTGATTGTTGCCATGTGGGCACCTCATTTCAGTGTTACCAGATTGCCCAGTTTTTAAAGAGAGCTTGGAAATAGGAATTTTTCAGGGCTGATCCATACAAAAATCAGGCGGTGAGCCACACAGACACCACCAGCTGCTGGTTCGTAACGATAGCGTTATTAGATGTGGAGAATAAGATGATCCTGTCGCAAACCTGCATTTTCAGCATGTATGCCTGAAACTGTGACTGTTGTCATGGGACGTCTCCCCTGGGGAGACTATTTCCTGAATTTGAAATTGGTCTTCATTTTTCTTTTTGTCATCTTTTTTTTTTCTTTTTAAATATCTTCCATTTATTATCCTTCTGAGCTAGTGAGTTGTATTGGTTTGGAAATACAAGAGGACTGACTGAGGGAAGGGTGATGATGGGAACAAAGACAGTGCCTTCATCATAAGCCAGTGTGCATGCCAGTGGCCAGGGAGGTCATATCCAAAGACCCAGGCAAGATAGTGACATCTGTACACAGCTCACCTAACTGGGGAGTGTCTGCAGGACAACTCAGAATGCCTCCTGTAATAACTCTTCTGGGGGCTCCCACGTTCTGGTCATTTAAAAACTTACTTAAGACATCCATACCTATGAGACGGTTCGTTTTGTAGTCAATCCTTGTTTTCCAGAGGAAGGGCATGAATCATTAAAATCACCTTGAAGTTTCAGAGTTTCCATTTAGACATTAGTTTCAAGTTCTGATCCCAGCTAACTTTTTAATTCTTTTTCTCACTTTCAGTCTTTCTCAACAGAGTTGCTAATAAGGAGTAAAACTGACTGGTTTGAATTGCACCTTTTCTTACATCTCACTTGTCTTCTGGTAGAAGTGTTAATAAATAGTGAAATACGCAAATGTTGGGAAGGAGGGGAGAAAGAGATAAGAGGAAGACAGAATAATACCTAAATTGGCTCATTGACCTTTGAACAAAACAGAATTAACTCTCTTTCATAAAGGAGAGGACCCAAAGAGGGGCGTTTTTATCTTAGAGCAATAACATATACTTTTTAAAATGGAATCTTAATAGCCACTCAAATTTATTATGTGGTGTGTACTAATCTTGATTGTTAGCTTGCTAACTGATTATTCATGAGTATAAAGCTTCCATAGTAGTATTCAGTACATCTTTTAGAGAAAACTTGTAATGGTATTGTACAACCAAAAAGCTTTCTTAATTTTTAGGTGATATAATGATTCTTAAAAATTATTTGATTTTAAAGAAGACATAATGAAGATTGTCAAATACTGAACTATCAATACTTTAGTCTGTTTTTTTTTTTTTTAAGAGGTTTTTGCTATAGGGCATGTGCGCTCGCCAGACAGAGAGAGTCAGAGAGATAGAAAATGAGAAATCACCCCCCAGGGGGGATGACCACGCCGCAATCCCTTCTCCTCCATTCTCCTCTCGGGATCTTGGGCATGCATGCACACGTGCCTGGCGTGAGTTTAAGCCACCGGGTCCGGGACGTGAACTGTGGTCGACTACGTGGGAGTCCAGCAACATAGCCATTACGCTAACTGCTGGTCCCACTTTAGTCTGTTTTTTTTATTTCTTCTTCTTTATTTTTTTTTTGCTTGTAAGTTGAACTAACCCAATGTGAATATACTTCATACCAGTCCAGTTGAAGATACAAAACACATTATCATCAACAGATAATAATCCATTTCTGTGTCCCACAAATGTCTTGCCTTTCTATTTTCCTCCTTAATTTCTTTCCTTAGACTCTCGCCCTTCTCCCATCCTCTTCCCACATTGTCTCCAGAATCTGAATAATTTTCAGTGCTCACTGTTTATATGATGCTTTATTCTACATTTTATGTTTTATGAAATATTTTGCAACTTTACATGAATCCTTGATTGCAGCCTTGGATTTATTTACTTTTTTTTTTTTCCAAAGAGGCTTTTTGAAGGTGTGTGCTTGCCAGAACGAGAAACAGAGACAGTGAGAGGGAAGGTGAGAAATCAGCCCTGAGGGAATGGCCACGCCACAATCCCTTCTCCATTCTCCTCCTGGGCTCTTGGGTGCACGCGCGCATGTACACACACACACACACACACACACACACACACACGCTCTGTGTGATTTTCAAGCCACTGGGTCTGGGACTCAAACCGCAGTTGATCATAGGAAGTCTAATGACATAATCACTATGGCATTACTGGCCCTTTTTAGAAAAAGCTTTTCAGAAGGAGGAAAGCTCATGTATTTGGTCTTGGAGTGATTATATTTTATCTTGGCGGTCACAAGATAAAGCAATTAGAAACCGTTCTCACCTGTGACTGCCAAGTACTTAAAGCCAAGCTTTAGTGAAACACAAGTTGTGTGAAAAAGTTATTTCATAGAGAGCAAAGGAGGAAGGTCTGTATTTTATCTTAGACTTTTCTATTTTATAGTTTCTAAAAAAAATGATGGGAGATAAATGAAGAGAGGTGGTGAGTATGTTTTTTGAAAAGAATCATACAAAGAAAAGAGACTATAAACTGTTCATATTATTGGATGCCACTGTCTAAAAAAATATATTCTTGTCATTAGATCTTGCATTTTTTTTATAAGCTGAATCATCTGTTAACATTACTTGAAGCTTTCAGAAAGTTTAAATTTTTTTGACTTTTTAAAAAATCTGTAGTAGTGGGGCCAGGAGGTGGCATGTTGGTTAAGGTGCTGGTCTCCCATGTGGCCAACAGCAGATCGAGTCCTGGACCTGGCGGCTTGCTTTCTCACTTCCCCCCTCCTTGTCTCATGAGTGCATGTGCTCTATTGTAAACTAAAATAATAATAACAACAAAATAAGCAATTCTTAAAAATGAATAGTAATAAAGTCAGTGTTTATCTAGTTTTGGCTAAAATTTTCATTCTGGACAACTTTGGTTGATTATTTTAAGAAATTTTCTACCTTATTGGAGTCTGTTAGGAATTATAGATGCAAACATGCCTCCCTCAGCCTTACTCATTGTAGTGTAAGTTAAATTGAACTCAGTAAAATGCAGGGCAAGCAGCTTTGCTTACATGGTAGGTAGACTGTCTGCCAAGATTCGAGGAACTGGATTGGAAGATGACTGGAGATTTTCTTCAGCCTTGTGATGTGGTCACAGATTTGGTATTTGTGTGAAGTGGTTTGCGGTGTTATTTCTTCTACGTTGGGTAGACTATGAAACTATGTGATGTACCAAACAGCCAGTCTGGAAAACACTCAGAATTGGTTTCAGTTCAACATGAGGCAAATCAGAAAGTCATTAGCAGAGAGTCAGCAAGGCTTTTGGCATGAGGCGTAGTAAGACAGACCTAGGACTAGAGATTCCAGCCAGCAAGGAATCGGAGAGAAATTCTTTGTTGTAAGACATGATTTTACATTTTGTTAGATTCCCCCCCATCACTGTGCATTGAGCCATGGCTAGTTCAATCGAAAAAGATTAGCATCTTTGCTTTAATCAAGACTTTAATTTGGCACTGACACATTTAGCCATACTGTGAATGCTCATTAGTTTTCTTTACAATATATGATTAAATGATATTAAATTTACTATTTACAAAGCATTTGCAAAATATTTTAAAATTGTAATCTTAAGGATCTTTATGAAAGATTAATGTAAACTACAAAAGGACATAATATCTAGCTAGTTTTCTTAAATGAAAGCAGCTATTACATCTTTACTGAGATTCTTGTATTGTTTTTTTAGAAGCCATTTTGTTCATATTCATATAGCATTTTATAATCTCACACACTGCAAAGCTGAGTAGATTTGTCTGATTCGGTTGTGAAATAGAATATGTGATAGGCTGCTAAGTGCTAAAAAGAAGATTAAAAATCAAAAGTTTGCGTTCATTTCATTCTCAAGTTACCCATCTGTGTTTTTATTTCCACAGAATTAGTAATAAAGGAACTCTAAAAAAGTTAGTTCTATGTTTTGTTCCTGCATACCTCAAATTAATGTTTGTATTACTTCTTTTTAAGAAATGTTTCTTTTGGGGCCAGCAGGTAGAGTGGCAGTTAAGGTGTTGGACTCCCACATGGCTGACCATGGTTGGAGTCCTGGACTTACAAGCTTGAAACTCACGCTGGGCATGGGTGCATGTGTGCCCATAATCCCAGGAGGAGAATGGAAGAGAAGGGATTGCAGTGGGGCTATCTCTCCAGGTGTGATTTCTCACTTTCCCTTCTCACTCTCTTTCTCTGGCAAGTGTATGCACCCTATGGTAAAAACTTAAAACAACATGTTTATTTTATGTTTATTCTTTCTTCCATGAGTGAGATAGACAAAGAGACATGCATCTCCAACAAGGCCTTCATGCCATGATCCACCCCCATCTCCTACCACCCCTAGATCATGGGCACACGTGCCCCTGGCATATCAAGAAGCTGTCTGGACACAAATCTGTACTTCTCCCA